TTTTCTTACGCTCGGGATATTTCATCTTTCAGGATCACTGTCCCGGAAGAGCTTTTTTCAACCATATGTTCGGGCAATTTTTGGCCGGATAGTATGGTGGTAAAAGAGTTCGAAGCTAGGATTAAAAATAAAAAAAAAGGCCCGTGCGAATAAAACTTCCTTCGAGTGGCCAAACCACTAAACCTTCATCTACATCTTCCTCTTCCTCAAAAAAACTAACATCAAGCCTTCTTCTTTCCTATCAAAATGCAAGGGGCTTGCGTAACAAGCTAACTAAATTACATTCTGATAGCTTTTCTTTTGCATGCCATATTATTGTGTTTACAGAAACGTGGTTAAAGTCGGAGATTCTTAACTCCGAAGTTTTTCGAGGTATGTACACAATATACAGGCATGACCGGCCTTCAAAGCGGGGTGGTGGAGTCTTAATTGCGGTTGAGTCCACCCTCACTTCGGAAGAGGTGCTTTTTGATGAGCTCAATAGCATAGAATTTATATGCGTAAAGCTGTCGCTTCCCGATAGTCGTATTTATATAACTTGCTCCTATATTCCGCCATCCTCTGAAACTTCAGTTTATTTTAATCATTTGTCTGTCATACAGTCTGTTTCGGATAAGCTTTCTGATAGGGATCAATTGGTAGTTCTAGGAGATTTTAATATTCCTGGAACTATTTGGTCCCCAGATGAAAGATCAAATGTCCTACTGCCTACAGCACAAAATGACTTTATTGACGGCTTGCTTGACACTTCATTATCGCAAGTCAATCATATACGAAATTGTCTAGGTCGTTTACTGGACCTCTGTTTTGTATCTAATCCTGAAAATGTGTTTCTCTCCAGGGTAGCACCAATAACTCAACCTGAAGATCCGTATCATCCTACTCTTGAGGTGACAATCGACACAGGTACCATAATAAAAGAGCAATCTGTCAAGTCTGCTAAACGAATTTACTGTTTTCGCAAGGCAGACTTTTTGAGGCTAAGAAATTTAATATCTTGCTATAATTGGTCCGATCTTTACACTTGCAATAATATGGCGGATGCCATAAATATATTTTATACAGTAATCCAGACTTTTTTTATTCTTGTGTTCCGAAATACTATCCGTCTATATCTAGCAAACCTCCTTGGTTCAATAAAGAGTTGACACACTTAAGAAATGTAAAATCCAGACTTTATAGGAAATTTAAAGATACCGGTTCTCACTCTATCTTTTCAAAATATTTAAAAGCTCGGTCAAATTTTTCCGTGCTTAATGCTCAGTATTACAAAAACTATTTAAACCGTTGCAAGGTCCAGTTTGCGCAGGATCCGAAACAGTTTTATAATTTCGTTAATACTAAGCGTAAAACATCTTCTTTCCCTTCCTCGTTATCATTTGAAAATACTACGGCAACATCGGATCAGACAATAGCCGATTTATTTGCCCAGTTTTTTCAAACAACATACTCACCTCACTTACCTCACTATGATCAGCCCTATTCTTATGCTGTATCCAAGTCGAATTTAGTATTCTGTCCCACGTTAGGCGAGAGCTCCCTACTTTGCGATCTTCAGCGTGTTAAGCCTGTATATTCGCCAGGCCCCGATGGAATTCCTGGCTGTGTGCTTAAAAATTGCGCGAAAGCCTTGTGCAAGCCGCTTCTCAAATTGTTTACCCTCTCTTTGGAAACGTCACAGTTTCCCCATATGTGGAAGGAGTCTTTTGTCATTCCTCTTCACAAAAAAGGCAACAAATCGGATGCAAGCAATTATAGAGGTATCTCTAAATTGTCTGCCATTCCTAAGCTTTTTGAAAAAGTTATCACCCCTCACTTGCAGCACCTGTGTAGATCAATAATTTCACCATGTCAACACGGTTTTATAAAACAAAGATCAACAACCACTAATCTCTTGGAGTTTACTTCATTCGTGATAAGGGGTTTTAAACACAATTTTCAAACAGATGTCATTTACACTGACTTTAGTAAAGCATTTGACTCTGTAAATCATTCACTTCTTATAAGGAAACTTGACTTATTAGGTTTCCCAGTTGATCTTCTAGAATGGATCTTAAGTTATCTGAATGGCAGGACACAAAGGGTCCTTTTTAAGAATTCACTTTCTTGTGTTCTCCGAGTCACTTCCGGCGTCCCTCAAAGGAGCCACCTTGGCCCGCTACTATTTACCTTATTTATTAATGACCTTCCATTAGTAATAACACACTCTCGTGTACTTATGTACGCAGATGATGTTAAATTGTGCTTGCAGTATAAGGACATTTCTTGCCGTTCGAATTTACAATCCGATCTAGATAGCTTTCAAAAAATGGTGCAGTGATAACTTACTCAACTTAAACGGCTCAAAGTGTAAGCTTATGACCTTTTGTCGAACTGACCCGATACGGGGGGCTTACACTTTAAGTGGATGCTCTTTGGATGCTCTTCTGGACCAAAATTAAAATTTTCTATCCATATTTCGTCTATGGTGAATAAAGCCAGGAGTGTGCTGGGATTTATAAAAAGGTGGTCAAAGGAATTTGACGACCCTTACATAACTAAAAATTTATTTATTTCGCTTGTCCGTCCAATTCTTGAATATGGATCACCGGTCTGGAGTCCCCAATATGGAGTTCATTCGGATCGTATTGAATCGGTCCCTAAAACTTTTTTCCCTACGGCGCCTAAGTTGGGATGCAAACCTTTTATTACCCTCCTACTCTAGTAGACTACTTATAATTAATTTACCCTCCCTAGCCAACCGTAGAACGATGCTTGGAACAGTTTTTATGTTTAATCTTATTTGTGGTAAAATTGATAGCCCCGACTTACTTAGCAGGCTAAACTTCTCCGTTCCAAGTAGATTAACCAGAAATTACATCCCCCTAATTTTAAATCAATGTAGATCTAACTATGAACTGCATGATACCTACAGAGTATTGTGTTCTGACTATAATAGACTTTATCCTATTATATCTATTTCTGACTCTCTGCCGCTCTTAAAGCGATCTCTTCTGACTTTTTTGGCTCATAATTAGATCTTATTGTCTTCCTCCTCATTTTCCTCGGCCTTTTTCTTATTTTTCTAAGTCGCGACTTTTCTCTCGTGAACCTCGTTTTAATAATCGGGTCAAAATTATCGCGAATCGTGCCGTACGATACACGGCGGTCGCCCCTCGGTCGGTTGGGCGGGTAAGTGGGCCGTGGGACTACGCGCGAAAAAAAAAAAATCACAGCAAATAGATCACAGATCTAGCGATTTTTAAAAAGCTTCGTCTTCAAAAGTATTATCCCAGTATTTTCATATTCTTGAAAGCTTAAATGTAGTCTTAGGTAATATCATTGTGTATTTTTGGATTTATGGTATACCGCTACTAACTAAAGAAAGGTTGTCGGTATAATGTTTGATTGACCGTTTTATTGCTTAAGTAATTCATTTCGATTATTAGAATCAAAATATACAAATTAATATACAGTAGAATCCTGTTATAACGACTCCGCTTATAGTGTCCGTCCGGGTTGTGCGTCGAAAACTCGATGGTTTGGTTGGTCCCCATACAAAGTTATATGAAAGGGCCTCCGCTTAGAGCGTTTCCGCTTTTAGCGACAAACCGCTTATAAGAATGAAATTTTTCAAGAAAATTGAAAAATTTAACCGGATATTGCGTCGTGCCGGAAAAAATACAGTGCCATAGTTCCAAATTTAAGCATCAAAACACGCTGTTAGAAATGTATGTATTTGTCAGTGATCGGCACCCTTGCTTGTGTGCGTAGCAGCGACACGAAGGATCTTGCACTGGCACAACTCTCTGTTAGTTTTAGCTGTCGCCTTAACAACGCTGCTGCGAGAGAGAGAGAGTCGAAGTCACACTGTGTGTGCAGACCTCATAGTCTATTCCATTAGATGTCCCCTTATATTTCTAGTTTTTTCTTCTTTTTTCCGAGTAAAACTGAATGTTTTAATTTGCCAAATGCAATATGTGCAATAATAAGTTTTCAGTATTTAGAAAAACCTATGTTTTTGAATTTAATTTATTAAATTTTTCGTTTTAATTAAAAAATTAATTTGATTTATTTTTAAAACCTATAACAAACACAGCAACCATAAAATAATAAAAACAAAATTTTTTTTCCTCCTTTTGCTTAGTGCGTCTTCCGGTTATAACGACGAAAAATGGTCGGTCCCTTGGAAGTCGTTATAACCGGATTCTACTGTAAATGGATATCCCAACTGTGAATTGCCGTCGGCATATGATGTTCCCTCGGGTGGTCCCTCGCAGTTGCAGATAATCAAAAGGGAGCGGGTGACAAGGTCCGCCGTTGTAGTTGTTGGCCGGCTGGCCAAGTCTTCTCCAGGGTGAACTATAGGGTGCGGGGGACAAGATCCGCAGCTATGTTTGCAGGCCGGCTGGCCGTAGAATTTTCCCAGATGAGTTATGAAGATTATGATGGAAGGGTGACTGCCTTTCTTTAACTGCTGGCCTAGAGACTCAGACAGTTTTCCAATAATAAGAATTTAACGACAACAGTCGGAGTAGAATTGTATAAGCAGCAGCTCTTTATTCATATAAAGTCTTATCTAAACTGAAACATAAAAAAAAATTACATTCTTTAACTCCACCCGGGAGCATAGAGCCTCTGCATTTTTGAAGAGAATTCATTTATCTTTGGTTTTCGATCGCACTGGTGATAAGCCAGTAGCGACGAAAAGTTCTATTGTTGCGTCCATAGTAACGTGGACGAGGGGGTGTGCGGGTCCGGGGAGCCGAAATTGGTTACTAATGTTAAGTGAGCGATAGAGCATAGACGTGGTGGAGATTTGGAAAAAGAGACCGTTTCTTTTTCTCGGGGAGCCTGGGACTCGAACCCGGGCCTTCCGGACCGGAGGTCAGCTCTACCTGCTGCTAGTATTTACACAGTAATTCACGATGATTATATAAAATCATAGGAAAATACGATACAGTTTTAAATATATCTATCAGTGTTGTTCAGTCTGGATATAATTTTGTTTCTCTCTACAGTCGTGCGACGCAATGCTAAGTGACGCCGAGACTAAGGAACTATCAATCCGAAGCTTTGACTTGGCTATATTGGACGGAGCTTTTCCAGAGTGCTTTCTGGGATTAATATACCAGTTTAAAATTCCGTTTATGTACATAAACACAGTGGGCTTCTACACTGGCAGTATCTCGACTGCGGGAAACCCTGTAAGCTACGCTATAACCCCGAACTTTTATTCTCGATTTACGGACACAATGAGCCTTTATGAACGGGCAGTCAACACGGCCATGCAGATCGGGCAAAACATGATGCACATGGTAAGTTTCTTTCATGGTTTTAGTCTGACTTTTATCAGAACCGTTTTAATTTGACATTTATAAAGAAAATTTTTATTTCAATCATAGTATGTTATGCGCCGAACACATCTTGTACTTCGAGAACATTTGGGTGCCCACATACCCCATCCTTACGAAATAGCGCGCAATGTGAGCTTTATTTTGCAAAACGGTCACGCAGTCCTATCTTATCCGAGAGCCTTTTATCCAAATGTGGCAGAGGTAGCTTGTATTCACTGCAAGTCAGCTAAACAACTTCCTAGGAACCTCGAAGACTTTATCGGCGGCTCTGGCGTGTCGGGGTTCATTTATGTTTCTATGGGTTCTTCGGTTAAGGCAGCAAACATGCCAGAGGCCCTGCGAAACATGCTTGTTAAAACCTTTGCACGTCTGCCTTATCACGTATTGTGGAAGTATGAAGGTAGTTCTGCTGACATAAAAGACCTCACTTCCAACGTAAAGCTTTCCCGATGGCTACCTCAGCAGGACATTTTGGGACATCCCAAACTACGAGCATTTGTAACTCACGGAGGCTTGCTAAGCATGTATGAAACGGTTTTTCATGGAGTTCCAGTCGTCACAATGCCGGTGTTCTGCGATCACGATGTCAATTCAGCTAAGGCCGAGATCGACGGTTATGCCGTTAAACTAGATCTTCAGACTTTATCGACCAATCAACTATACAAGGCAATAATGAAAGTGATTCACGATCCCCGCTTCAGAAGCGCAGCTCGCTACCGCCAAAAACTTTTTCTCGACCAGCGCTCTTCGCCCCTGGAAACCGCTATATACTGGACAGAATATGTGCTGCGTCATAAGGGCGCTTATCACCTACAGTCTCCCTCACGGAATATGACGTAAGTTTATGCAGATCTCTTGGGTCATTTCTTAGGTTCACCACTAATACTCACTTTTTTCCACGTAGTTGGTGGCAATACTATATTCTCGACGTAATTGCCGTTTATTTAATATTAGTTTGCGGCCTGGTTTTAGTACTTAAGCGCTTCGAGTTCCGGTCCGAGAAGCTACGTAGTCTTCACTTGCTGACGCCGGCCTCACATTCATTAGCAAAAACGAAGTCAAAGAAGCTGTAACTACAACGGCAGTCAAATGTCTTTCCATTGGGCTGTTACAACATTAAAAAGGCTTAGTTATTATGTTGTCCAATTATTGTTTGAAGTTCTGTAAATAAAATTTAATATTATAATTATAAAAAGTAAATTAAAGCTAAATACTTAATGTATACCTTTTTAAATACCTGAAAGTCGTTGCTTTTGAAGTCTTAAGTTATACATGACCATCCTTAAGAGCTGATCATACAGTCGTCAGTCGTGTATCGTACGGCACGTCTAGCGAGAAGTAAGACGCAATATAAAAGAAAAAGTTACTAAATAATAGTTTAATAAAACTAAAAACAAGAAAGGAAGCTAGCTTTGGCAAGCTGAAGCTTAAAAACCCTTGCAGTGATCAATTATGTCGAACAAAATACATAAAGACTAAACAACATCGAAGCTATGACAATTTTTATAATAATTTTCCATATTTTCGACTATTCGACTATGACATAGTTGTAAGATTTTGATGAAATTAAATTCGTTATTCAAGGGTCGTAAGAAAACTCTATATTCCAAAAATCATGATTGTCTGATGAAAAACAACGATATCATAACTTTATTTCCTTTATTTCTGTATAGATTTTTCTGTCTTTCCTATGGCAGCTATAAGATAAGGTTGTCGGATTTTAATGACATTTTTTCCTCGATTTAAGGATTATTAAAAAGCTCCATATTTTGGAAATGTTGCTGGTGGGATTAAAAACCAACGACGTTATAATTTTTTCCCATAATATATATATATATATATTTCGATCTTTCCTGTGGCAGCTGTATGAAAGAGTTATCCGATTTTGATAAAATTTAATAGTAGTTAGAAAACGCCACCTGGAAGAAATAAAGTCGATCTGATCAAAAACAACGGCGTGAGAGTTTTTGATTTCATTCTCTCGTAAGGCAGCTATCGGCCAATCCGGCCCGTTCCGATTTATATACTGCGTGCAATAACCACACAACTTTTGGTAAAGTTTCAGCAAGATAGCTTTAAAACTGAGAGACTAGTTTGAAGAGAAACGGACAGACGGACAGACGGACAGACGGACAGACGGACAGACGGACAGACGGACAGACGTACAGACGTACAGACGTATAGACGTACAGACGTATTAGGATTCAGATCGTGATGCTGATCAAGAATATATATACTTTATGGGGTCTGAGGTGTCTCTTTCACTGCGTTGAAAACTTCTGACTGAAATTATAATACTCTTTTGCTCTGCAGCCCACCTTGTGTCATGAAGACAAAAAAAGCAGCTTGCTGCGGCTGTATTTACACGTTTATTCTCTTATTAGTTCACCACCGTACCACCGTCAAGCCTATTGACGTTCACTGCTGGACTTGAGCCTTTTCTAAATCTCGCCCACACCCATTACGATAAAGAAAGTGGTAATGCGCTAAGTGGTGTAAGGATGTCTCTGGCTATGCCGGGGTGAAGCCTCAGCGGTGCCAGGGGAGTCCTTCACAGAAAATTTATAAGAAATCTATGAAAGGACACTGGAGGTTCGTGGGCGGTGGGTGACGCATGGTACTTGAGGGGGGGAAGGGCACTGGTGGCGACAGTAAGGGTGGTCATTGCCTAATCGGAGTAGCCGACCCCAATCGCAGCCGACCCAGTGCGTGGTAAAAATTCCAGGCACACTGGGTGGCAGACGACGGGGCTAGCTTCCACCGAGATAGCTGCTAGCGTGGTAAAAATTCCAGGCCCCATAGCTACCAGGGCAGGGCGGAAAGGGGGGGGACCTGTGCCGATGTCGCTGCCGGGTGCGATCGGCGAGCCTGATCTCTGGATGCGGCGGTCGAGAGGACCCAGTCGCCTCCACCGTAGCCAGTCCCGTGCGTGGTAAAAATTCCAGGCACACGGGATGGCTGACGATGGAGGGCGGAATCGGAGACAGAGAGGGAGAGGGCGGGAGACCGATCGAAGGAAGGCTGATCGCTGGGAATCGGAGTAGCCCCTGCCGCCGCCGACCCAGCGCGTGGTAAAAATTCCAGGCACGCTGGGGGACGGGCGACAGGGACCCAGATAGCACCCGCCGAGGTAGGTGATGGCGTGGTAAAAATTCCAGGCGCCATACCTACCAGGACAGGGCGGAAAGGGTGAACTATGCCATGTTTGGGTACCTGCAGGGTCACTTGCCACGGAGAGGGGGGGGGGGAAGCTATTGACGGTGCCGATGCTGGTGTTTCGCTGTGTAAACGTGAGTGTATGAGCATGTGTGTGTGTGTATTTTTTTTTTTTTTTTTTTTTATAGTAGGTGGTAAAGCTTGAAGAGCCGAAGTCTGGGTCTTTCACCCAGTAAAACCCTGAACCTACTCTCCGTTTCCCTTCTCACGGTACAACCGCAGGGGTTAACCTTGGGTATTACTTCGCGAGGGGGGAGATGGCCTGAAAAGCCGCAACTAGTAATTAAACTAGGTTAGACGACGGTTGCGCTGACGTTCAGCGCGACGCATGGATTTCATGACAAAGACTGTCATTTTGCTGACGGCATCCCAATTGTTTTGTGAGCCCAGTAGCGTATCCATCAGGTCAGAGACCGTGAACGGCTTCCCAATTGCTAGGCTGAGCTCATGCCTTATAGCTTCAAATTTCGGACATAAAAAGAAAACATGTTCTGCGTCTTCGATTGCCCCAGTACACTGTGTGCAGAACGGGTCCGTCTCGTGCCCAAACCTATGAAGATAGGATTTAAGGGGTTATATACCTTTTTCACCAGAGAAATACAGGGTTTTTATTTATTTTTTTTTAGCATGTTACCATTGTTTTATTTAAATTCAATAAAAACTTTATCAAAGTACGTGTCCTTAACTTAATTCGTATAAAATTTCGAGTGAAAATTTTGAGAATTGTGGAAGTTATAGTCCTTGCCGCAGAAGTCCTTTTTATAGTAGTGGCTAACGGTGAGCATGAAAACAAGAAAACGGCTCAACGAAAAAAAAAAAAACAAAAAAACTACGTTAGTATATAGTGTTACCTAGTTCGTGAACGAAGGATTTTACGAAAAAAAATTTTTTACAGTTACAGTGATTATTTTTTCAAAAAAACCGATTTTTCGAGGTCTAATAATTTAGTTTTTCGCCCCAAAAAAATAGAAAAATTTATCGAAAATAAAATTCCTTCGTTCACGAACTAGCTATTGTATCTACAAACAATCCCCCAAAATTTCAAATCGATCGATGTAGTGGTTACCGAGATATCGTGCTCACCGCAACGACCTTTTCTCAAAAATGCGATTCCGAGATAATCGCGGTTAAAGTTTTAGGTGGACATTAGGTAGTCATGCACACCGTGCGCTATGAACGGCTGTATCTTAGGTTCTAGTGCCCCGATCTCTAAAAAATTTTGAAGAAAAATTGTTGAAAGTATGTACATCAAAAAAAAATCATAAAATTTTTTTCGATTTTTTGATTCTGAAAAAGGTATATAACCCCTTAAAGCACCCATGTCCTGTCAACAGTTGCGTCATGTAGAAGTCAACCTGTCCGTGATTTCTTTCAACCCAACGCTTCACATCTGGCAGTAGCTTGTACGTCCACCTACCCTTTGTGCTTCCACTCCACCGGTTTTGCCACGCTGAGACCACGCGGGCTCTACTCTCCTTGATCGATGCAAATTCGCCGGCCAGCTCCTGCGCCTGCTTTGCGAGCAGGTCTAGGGGCGTCGTGGCGGCTAGCAATAACGCGCTTTCCTCGGAAATGGTCCGAAAGCCACATATAACTCGGAGTGCGGCGCGTCTGTATGCCGCCCTGCATGAGCGACTATATGTGGGCGAGGTCATGGCCGGAGCCCAGATCGGTGCCGCATACATGATTGTGGATTTCACCACATTTGCCAGAAGGCGCCTGCTCTGCTGTTTTGGCCCGTTAACATTCCCTAACATTCTAGCTAAAGACGTGGCAACTTTAGCAGCTTTGTTGCCCGTCACCTCTAGATGGAATTTGAACGTAAGCCGGTGATCCAGCATTACGCCAAGGTACCTAATGAAGGGCTTGGACCGTATCGTAGTCCTACCCACTATTATTTTGGCGGTTTCTTCCGCCTTCCTGCTGCTAATCAAGACGGATTCCGTCTTGTGCTCGGCTAGCTTCAAGCCATTGGCACATAGCCAATGGGAAGCTTGCTCGATGGACGCATTTGTTACAGCTTCGACTTCATTTAAATGCTTCGCTACTGCGACGACAGCAATATCGTCTGCGAAGCCAATGATCGTAGCTCCTTCAGGGAGCTGTAGGTTAAGTATTCCGTCGTACATGCAGTTCCAGAGGGTAGGGCCCAGCACAGAGCCCTGAGGAACTCCTGCTGAAACTGCATAGCTACGACGGCCCTCCTCAGTGTCATAAAGAAGCTGTCTATTGCTAAGATACTCTGAGACTATGTCCACCAGGTAGCTGGGAACCTGTAGACGTCTCAGGGCCGAAAGTATCCGCTCCCAGTTTGCTGTGTTAAATGCGTTTTTAATATCCAGAGTAGTCACCAGGCAGTATTTTTTGCTACCACCTCGCCAACGTGCTCCCTGGATTGCCTCAGAGGCCAGTTTGTGTACCAGCCCGATCGCGTCCACTGTGGATCGCTTCTTCCTAAAACCAAATTGATTGTGGGATAAGCCCAGACTCTCGGACAGTGCAACTTCGATGCGGTTGCAGATTAGCCTCTCGTATACCTTTGCCACAGTGTCGAGCATGCAGAGTGGCCTATAGGCCGCAAGGTTGTCATTTTGACTGCCCTTGGGTAATAGTACCAATCTCTGCATTTTCCAGGCTTCAGGGAACGTTCTCTGTGCGAAACAGGCATTGAAGAGCTTTACGAAGATCTCCAATCTCTCCGTCATTATTATCTTTAATGCCTTGTTAGGGATCATATCTGGGCCAGGGGCCTTTTCGACTTTGATTCTCCTAACTTCAGCCAAGACTTCCGCAGCATTTGTGAACGTGGGAAAAATCTCACTTTGAAGCGGGGAGGGCTCTTGCTGTGGCTGCAGTACTACACTCGGCGGGAAGAGGTGCGCCACTATGTTGCTGAGCTGCTCAGGACATGTTGGGGTGGGCTGGCTGAAGGCCGCCAACTTCCCCATTACCAGCTTGTACGCTGTGCCCCAGGGACGTGTGTCTGCGTCATCGCATAGTTTAGCGAAGCATTGTTTCTTGCTCGCGGAGATCTCCTTTTTAAGAGCCGTCCGCAAGGATTTGTAGAGGCGTTGGAGTGAGGCGAAGTTCGGCCTACCTCGAGAGCGCATATATTGCCTTCGTGCCTGGTGGCACTTCCTGCGCGCCTCCGCTATGGCATCGGTCCACCAATACACCGGGGGACACCCATTTCCGCCAGCACGTCTCCTTTCCATGGAAGCTGCGCATGCTGACCAGGTTGCTTTTTTAATGCATACAGCATTTTCGTTGGCGTTCTTACGCTCGTCATACACGAGATCTTCCGCCATTAAGATCAGGGCTTGCGGGTCGAGGGTAGAATCTCGGAACCCAGTGGACGCATTGATGTTTTTGCGTTTATATCGCCCGTCTCTTATTTCCATGGTGATGGCCCGGTGGTCGCTTCCGGTATATATCTCTGAGACTTGCCATGCTGACGTCCTGGTTAAGGTTGGGCTCATAAACGTGATGTCGATCACTGAACCCATTCCCGCCTTCTCGAATGTGTTGGCTGACCCTGTGTTAGCCAGAGTGAGGCCTGACCGGGCAATAGCGTCCAACAATATGTGGCCTCTATGGTTTGTGAGGCGACTGCCCCACTCCGTTGCCCAGGCGTTGAAATCGCCGGCAATGATGATGGGGTGTCGTCCTCTGGCGTCCTCCAGAATGTCGTCAACAATGCTGCCAAATGTCTGCGAGTCGACACTGGGTGCAATGTAGCACGAATAGATGGTAAGGCTACCCACCTTCGCCCTGACAAAACCTCTGCCTGAATGCCGGCATTGGATCTGCAGTGGTCTCGGGCTGCAGCTCCAAATTGCTGCACCACCTTGGGTGTTTTGAAACCAAATCCCATCGTGCTTACTTGCGTATGGCTCGCTCAAAATGGCCAGGTCTATTTTTAGGGCTCGCACTGTTTGTGCAAGCAAGTCCTGAGCCGCTCTGCAATGGTTCAAATTCAATTGGAGAATCTTCATTTTCCCTTTGCTTTGAGAGCCTGCTGGTAAGCTGGGCAGCTTCTGCTAAGCGTGTGGTGCTTGCAGTTTGCGCCATGGGTTTTTGCGCAGCGTAGGCAGCGTGCCTCTTTGCTGCAGCTTTTGGACTCGTGATCGAGCCCACCGCAGTTAAAGCACGCTTTGGACAAATCGACCTTGCTACGGCAGTGCAAGGCCATGTGACCAAATGCGAGGCATTTATAGCATCGCTTTGGCTCAACGGACTTACGGACCCTACAGTGCGCCCAGTCGATGCGGATTTTTCCTTCTGCTAGGATCTTCTCCGCAAGAACGGGCGGGATGCTCATCTTGGCTGTTAACGTGCCCCCGTATGCCTTCCTTAGGGAAGGAATGGCCGCTGGTGGAATATCGCCTTCGTGATTGGCGAAAACTGCCTGTATTATGTCGTCCTTCGACGAAAATTCAGCAATGTCCCTGATCTCTACCTGGACTAGCTCCTTCAACTCCTTAACCTCTGCCTTATCAGACAGGGTCTCCTGCAAAGCCTTCTGTAGCCTGGATGTGGCTGGGTCGGCCGTTTTCATCATTTTGATGAGAAGCTCGCCCCTACCAGTCATCCGTATGCCTTTGACGCAATCTTTGTGTTGCTGTAAAGTTGGGTTATTTTTCACCAACTTTAACACGTCGGCATACTGCATGCCCTCGCCACACTTGACGACTAGTGCGTCTGTGCGTGGAGGGAGTTTTCTATGCTGCTGCTGCTTGTTTGGCTGCTGCTTATTTGGCTGCTGCTTCTTCGGTTTTTTGGTAACCGTCGACCATTCCGCACCCTCCTTCCTGCCATTGGCCACATGGCTCTGCGGGAGAGGGCCGGAAATCTCCTTCGCAGCACTAGCGTAGGTGATGGATTTCACCACCTTATTGCTTGTGCCGCAAGGTTGCGGCACCTTCTGCCTCTTTGGCGCTGAGAGTTTACCGGCTCTAGGGCTCTCTCTTTGCCTCTTGGGTGTGCGATTTTGCTCTCTGGGATTACTAGGGGCCGTCTCCAGTATCTTTACAGCAGACTTCTGCAGGGCGATGATCTGCTGGACGAGTTCCTTCATCGGAATCGTCACCATCACCCTCGTCTTGCCTACCATCATGCTGTTAAGCTGGGACAACTTCGCACCGATCGTGCCAATGACTCCGTCTATGTCGCCATTGGCGATAAGCGGAGCCAGTCCCTGCTCTGTAACTGCGCTAAAATGGAAGATCCCAGCTTCTGTGGGACCTCCCGCCTGAGCCGTTTCCGGCTGTTCCTGCTCTAATGCAGGCGAGAAGATGGGTGGAGATTTCGGCACCTTCGTCGGTGATCTCCCCATCTTGTTACTCCTCTTAAAAGGGTCAGCTTCCGGCGCAACAATACTCTTGGCTGTTGCGCTTTCAGCCTTGCCCTGAGGCGCCTCCTTGTTCATGCTAACCGGGCCACAGCCACGGCTCGCCATCCTTTACTATTTTGTTTACTTTGTTTACTTTTATTTTTGTAATCTTAATTGCCGCCTATAGGTATGCAACGCTTTAAGTCAGCTTAGGTAAAAGCTTACTTTGGAGCTTTCCCCGCGGGTTGACAGCTCAGCTTACGCTCGCGAAGAGTTGGTAGCTCTGCAGCGCAGCTGATCAGTCAACTGACCACGAAGATGGCAGACCTATCCCAATTTGTGAAAAATTGAGTGAAAACGGCTTTCCACTCACCCGCAGGGGGGTATCACCCCTGCGTCCAGATTCCGGGCCGACGCGTTGGAGCCAGGGAATTCTGGAATCCAATGCAGTCCTCTGCACGCCGGTATGTTGTATCCTCCAACACTTCGGGACTCTACAACCTCACTTCTTTACTTTCAGGTAGCACTCGCGCGATTTACTTCGGTAGGAACTTGTTTTCGCGAACTCGGATTTAAAAACACGTCCGGCTCGCAGCAACTTTACTTCCGATGATCTGTGTGTGTGTATGTGTAGGCGTGTAAGTGTGTGAGTGTATCAGAGTGAGTGTAGGTGTGCGTGTGTGGGTGCGTGGGTGTGTGCGAAAATGTGTAGCTTACCCCATAAAACAAACGGGTATGTAGGGTGGGTTTGGTGTATTTATGTGTGTATTTATTTGTGTATTTATTTCTTAAACAATTGCCGGGTTATTGGGAGTGTTGTGTTTCTATGGTTTTTTCTGTTTCAATGTTAGAATTGTTGCTCTTTAATGTTAATCGTGCACTACGTTGCGGCCGGCGCCGTTGCTCTGGGAATTTTCCACTTGTCACTCAGGTTCACTCGCGTTGTTGGTATTTTGGGTTTGCGACCTGATCGCCTCGGAAGTTCGAAGATAACTCCCCGATTCGTTTTCGCTGACCTCTTTGCCAGCCTCGGGCGAGCTTCGCTGCTCTGCTTGCGCCGACCCTTCGGTTGATGTCGCGTGCCGATCGTTGTCTTAGCGTCCCCAGATCGATTCGCAAGGGTGGTCGTTTGCAATGTAGGTCATATTTTCGTCAGGGTGGCAGGGCTATTGTTATATGCGCCTGGAAGCGCTAACCCTCCTGCGTCACCACAAAATTTCGTGTGAAACGCCTCGGTGGAGCGGCGGCCTGCTCGATCCGCTCAATTACGCCCATGGGCAGAAGGCGGCGAGGATTCTCAAGCCTCCAGTCAGGCGGGGCGTCTCGCCATCCTGCAGCAGTGTCTACCGCCTCGTCCAGCGGTGCCTCTGCGACCTCCACTGATGCTGGTGGAGTCAGGGCGCCTGTGGCTTGGTCTGCTGCGGTGCCGGGGTTGGTCTGGTTGCTGGCTGGCTACCACGTCGAGTGTTTCGGTTGGCCTGGCCAACGCGTTGGGCGCTGCTTCGGCGGATGGCCTGTTTTCTTCTGCGGGGGGCGTTGGTGGGAAGCCTCGCTGGAGGTTCCGTGCCTCGGGTTCCGTGATCGGAGGGAGCGACCTCATGTCCTCTCCCTCGACGATCGGACGCGACGCCAGCGGTCTGTTGGGTGCCTCATCCGCGGTGCGACGGACCTCCTCCTCGGTGGCTTTCCATCCTTCGATGGCCTCTGGCCAGGGCCACTCCGGCTCCTCCAGTGCTGGCGACAAGCCAAGGCGCGGGCTTATGCCAGGCGATTCCGCTGTGACGGCAACGTCCACCTTGGGGGCCTCCCAACCGCACAAGACGGGGTCAAAATTGTTCCGGCCTGAGGCTAGCAACTCCCAGTTCGGCTCGGCAAGGGGAATGGCTACCGGTCGCTCTAACCCGAGCTCGGCGTCGCACAGCAGTAGTGCCAGCTCCTCCTCGCCACCGTCGTACAACCCCGGGATGGGGAGATCGTCCTCTCCAGGGCTGGCAGCTCTGTCGCCTGGGACCTCGTCCACTGGTCCTTCTTGTACCGCGGCTTCAGGGAAGTTGTAACATTCGTATAACATTCATATATAAAACATTTGTATAACATTCATATATAAACATCAAATATAACAACCTTTGTATAACAGACATAAACCACGCTCAAAAGCTTCAAAGCTCTCCTTTGACCGATCAATGTAACTAAAAAGCTCCTTTAATTACCATATGTTTCATATCAACTAATGTAAGATTACGATAAGAACCGTTAGGATTAAGCTTACGCATAAGAACCAATGTAATCCGAAACGTATAAAAGACGGGCCTTGAGCTCGAATAAAGTCATTCAAACTTTACGCCTATTACATGGCGATCCTGCCTAATATCGGCAAAATATTAAGAGCCCAAGCCAATCCACAATAAGGCATGCTCAGCATAAACAATAATAAAAATATAGCCAGTATACCGGCTAAAAAAGAACCGCATACAAAAGAGGATAAGTTGGAAAACACTATCCAGTGGGCCCAACAGCGGTATATAAATCTAAAAGGAGAAAAGAGTGCCCACCTGGAGGCCATCCGGCAAGCACTAAAGAGAGAACCAGCAGACGGCCCGAAACCACGGGTCATAAGAGAGAACCCGATCCCAGCAACACCGGCGAAGAGACAACGAGGAGGGAGAATCGTCAAATTACGACGACTACGAGCAGCGCTGCTATCGCTCATCAACCGAGATCCACCACCACCTTGGGACGAAGCCTGCGCAATCTGGAAGCGAATTGACGACATAGAACAACAACAAGAAGCAGACGCACAAAGACGACATCAACAACAACAACAATAACAAAAACAAAATAAAAACAACCTGGCGAAAACGCCGTTGTTATAAAACAAAACAAAACAAAACACAAAAAAACAAAAATATATTATGAATTGAAAAAAACAACACAAAAAAAAAAAAAAAATATATTATGTAAACTAAATGAATTAAAATGAATTGAATTGAACAGAATTGAAACAAAACAAATTAAAATTATTACCTATGTATATATAAGATTAAATTAAAATTATTACCTATTTATATATAAGACTTAAATATAAACAAATGAATTTAAAATTAAAATTGTTATTAATAAGGCTAAAATGAAAAATAAAATAAATAAATAAATAAATAAAATATTTAAATGTAAAATTAACAAATTAATGTACACTTAGAAAAAAAAAAAGGGAATTTAAATAATTTAATTTCGAGAAGTTATATTGAATTAAAATTTTTGCCAACATTATAATTAAATTATAAATGTCAATGGAGTGGGAAGACATAAAGGACAAAATAGAATCACATAAAGAAAATTTTGATAAAGCCTACAAGTGTCTCAACAAAAACATATATATTCAACCATCTACAATTAAAAAACATTTAGATACCCTATTCGATAGCTTTAATAACATAAAGGAAATAATAAGAGAGAACTCAGAATTAGGAACACCCGATGAAAACCCTCAAGTCACTGAAATAATAGAAACACTCAAAAATTTTTTAGTTAATATCTGCAGTAAACATCAAATAACAGCTTCAATCCCAATTGCTCTAGAAAAACAAGCTGAATTTAGATTCGAAATAATAACAGACGTTAAGAAAACTCTCATAGCAAAGGACAAAATGGCACAAACAAATATAGAATTCCTTAATTCAGCATCAAAATTGATCCAAGAGTTTGATGGAAAGGCTGAAAACCTTCAAAGTTTTATAGACTCACTCGAACTTTTGGACGACATTAAGGGTACACACGAGTCAACAGCAATCCGAATAATCAAAACAAAGCTAAAAGGTGATGTACGATTACTTGTTACAGAAGAAAAAACTATTGTAGAAATTATAGAGACTCTAAAAAGAAATATAAAGGGAGAATCAGTACAGGTACTAGAAGCCCGATTAATGAATCTGCAACAACACGGGAAAACAGCTAACGCATACACATCCGAAATTGAAACAATTACAAAGGCACTAAAACGTGCATATATCATAGATAAGTTAAAGCCTGAAACAGCAAATGAATACGCGACTAGGGTAGCTGTCAGAGCCATTGTACTAAATTGTACAAACGAAAAATTAAAAACAATAATGGAGGCTGGTCAATTTACCAACATGAACGAAGTAATAGCTAAGTTTGTTAGTAGCTCTACTAATATAACAGATAACACAATACTCTTTTCAAAACGAAGTCCTACAAACCAAAATGACAGATCAAAAAATTTTAATAGAAATTATAGAAATTACAACAGCTACAATAATAATGGTAGCTATCGCAACAATAACTATAGTAGTAATAGATATAACAACACAGGTAGCTATCGCAACAATAACTATAGTAGTAATAGATATAACAACAATAGTAGAAGCCATGAGAACAATAATAACATTAGATTTATAAATGAAGAAAATGAAAACACTAACAATAATAATAGATTCATAAACGAAGAAGAGCAGCAGGAAAACTCTGTACGTCCCCTGAGTTCAAATTAAGTACCCATAAGATTTATACACTAAGTCAAAACCTCAATAGCTGTATTAGATTAAGAATAAACAGAATAAACATTACATTATTACTAGATACCGGTGCTGACATCTCTTTAATAAAACAAAAAATCATACTACCAAACTCAAGCCAAATTAACAGAAACAAACGCACAAGTTTACATGGAATAGGGGAAAGCACGGTAAACACATTAGGAGAAATTCAACTAAAACTGACTACCCATAACACAACATTACCACATACCTTTCATATAGTAAAAGATGACTTCCCAATCCCGTACGATGGATTAATAGGCCTAGATTTTATAAAAAATTATAACTGCCTTCTTGACTACAAAAACAACATACTTATCCTTAACCAACTTTATGAAAATCAAGAATTATTAATCCCAATACTAATAAAACCTCAAAATAATATTTTAGTAATCCCAGCCAGAACAGAAATAATAGAAAAAATTACAATAAACAACAAAGAAAACGAAATATTAATCCCAAACCAAGAAATCCATCCAGGTGTATTCATAGCTAATACAATAATTTCAAAAAATAGCCCTTTCGTCCGCATTATTAACACTAACTCTAAAGAAGCCCAAATACAGAAGATAAAACTTAAGAATGAAAAACTATCTGACTACGAACTATACAATCTTACACACACACAAACAAAACAACATCAAAAGGACATTATGTCAACTTTAGAAAAGAACTTTCCATTATTCGTGAAAACAGAAATATACAATTTGTGCAATGAATATACAGACATATTTCCTAAACAAGACGATAAAATTACATGTAATAACTTTTACAAACAAAGACTAACCTTGAAAGACAATACACCAGTATACACAAAGAACTACAGAATTCCACATAATCAAAAAGGAGAAATAAATAAACACATAGACAAACTTATAAATGACAAAATAATAGAACCATCAATGTCTGAATTCAACAGCCCAATTTTATTAGTTCCAAAAAAATCGTTACCTGGCAGCACTGAAAAAAGGTGGCGCCTAGTAATAGACTACAGAAAAATAAATAAACAATTAATAGCCGACAAATTCCCACTACCTAGAATGGACGACATTTTAGACCAATTAGGACGAGCAAAATATTTTTCCTGTTTAGATCTAATGTCAGGATTCCACCAAATAGAACTAGAAGAAACATCTCGTGACATCACGTCATTCTCCACAGACAGAGGATTCTACAGATTTAAAAGGCTACCATACGGATTAAAAATAGCCCCAAACTCTTTCCAAAGAATGATGACGTTAGCATTTGCAGGGCTAAAACCCTCTCAAGCGTTTCTTTATATGGACGATCTAATAGTTATAGGGTGTTCAGAAAAACACATGCTTGATAATCTAGAAGACGTTTTTAAAACATGCCGACGGTATAACTTAAAGCTACATCCAGAAAAATGCATATTTTTTAAACATGAAGTAGCATTCTTAGGACATAAATGTACAAATAAAGGGATATTGCCAGATGATAGTAAATTTGAAACAATAAAAAACTACCCAATTCCTAAAAACGGGGAAGAAGCGAAACGATTCATAGCCTTCTGCAATTACTATCGTCGATTTATACCAAATTTCGCAAAGTCAGCACGCCATATCACAAAATTGTCTAGAAAAAACATTACTTTTGAATGGTCTACAGAATGTCAAACAGCATTTAATTATCTAAAAAATTGTTTACAACACCCCACAATATTACAATATCCTGACTTTAATAAACAATTCTGTATAACAACAGACGCAAGCAAGTATGCTTGTGGTGCAGTTTTAAGCCAGGAATATAACGGAAAGCAGTTACCCATATCCTTCGCATCAAAATCATTCACAAAAGGAGAAAGTAACAAGGCAGTTATTGAACAGGAATTGGTAGCAATCCATTGGGCTGTTCAATTTTTTAAGCCGTACATTTATGGAGTCAAATTTTTAATAAAAACAGACCACAAACCATTAACCTATTTATTTTCATTAAAAAACCCATCATCAAAACTAATAAGAATGAGGTTAGACTTAGAAGAATATGATTTTACTATAGAATATATCAGGGGACGTGAAAATTATATAGCAGATGCTCTCTCAAGAATTAATTTTGAGGATATTAAGAATATTAAAAATAATACAAATAATGTCAGAAAAATGACAACTAGGTTAGAAACGAAAAAACAAACGGAAAGTAGTAATAAGAAAGAAATCAACCAAAAATTAGAACAAACCACAGAATTACAAGTATTTGAATCAATAAATCACAGCCATAAGAAGGGAGCAATTAAATTAACAATACACAAGCACAGCTGCAAAATATTTCAGGGAAAAACAAAAATTGTATCATTCAATATAAAGGATTTTGTCATTAAAGGAAAAATCAACTTAGAAAGATTCTTTCCAAGGCTTGAAAAAGAAGCCAATGATTCAAAAATTCATATTTTACTCATTGAAATAAATAATGAACTTTTCCACTTAACGAGCATAAACGAATTTAAAGAAATTGGTAATAAACTTTTGAAAAAAAATAAAAATAATAATATTACCACCCATAAAAAAGATAAATAGAAAAGAAAAAGATCAACTAACCACTATATTAGAACAATTTCATGATAACCCAATAACGGGAGGTCACAGTGGGGTCACAAGAACATTAAACAAAATAAAAAGAGAATATAAGTGGAAAAATATGACAAAAGATATCACAAACTACATTAAACAATGTGAAAAATGCAAGTTGGCAAAAACAACAACTCATATCAAAACACCAATGGTATTAACACCCACACCAGTTAAAGCCTTCGAAAGAGTCCTAATAGATACAATAGGACCATTGCCAAAAACTGAAAACAGGAACGAATATGCAGTAACCATAATATGCGATCTAACAAAATACCTAGTTACTATACCGGTCCCAAATAAAAGCGCTGACACAATCGCAAAAGCAATTTTCGAAAAATGTATCCTAATATATGGGCCGATGAAGACTCTTATAACTGATATGGGAACAGAATACATGAATTCTGTTTTATTAGAACTTTGTAAAAATTTTAGAATCAACAAATTAAACTCTACAGCACATCACCATCAAACTCTTGGTACAATAGAAAAAAGCCATAGAACCTTTAATGAATACATAAGATCATATATTTCAATTAATAAAACTAATTGGGACGAATACCTACAATACTTTACTTATTGCTTTAATATAACACCCTCAATAGTACACGGCTATTGCCCATTTGAACTAGTTTTTGGTAAAATAGCTCCAAACATACCCTTTTCTTCAAACTCCATTGACCCAGTTTACAA